CTCTATGATTATGTTAACAAAAGATTATTCTGTTTGAATTGGAATTATAATTTTAAATGTATTAATGTAGATTAACGATATAATTTAAATTGGTTAATTGTTATTCTCATAATATTATGCATTTAATCTCATAATATTATGCTTTTATTCTCAGAATAAAAAAGTATTAAAAAGCTTGTTGTGTTGCTGTAATATTCCATCGAAGGTTACGAACGCACTGCTGGAATTAAGAATCTGTGGAGTCAGTTTTATTTACAGATCACATCCAGAACACGAACAGTTAGTTTTATGTTTAGTTTAGAGTAAGAGTAAAAAAGTGGACGATTCTGGGCTGACCAGACAAAGAGTGAAGGATGGTTTTATTCTCCACTGTGTGATGATTGACAGCAGAGGACACTGACAGCGCTGTCTCTCCCTGGTCTTTCTCTGTCCCTCCCTGTCTGTCCCTGTCCCTGCAGTCCAGCATGCTGTACACAGAGTTACTGCAGCTGTGGGACCAGTCGGTGCAGCGTGTGGATGCCAAGGACTGGCTGGGAGCTCTGGCCAAGCTGCAGCAGATCAGTGAGCCAACGTCTCGGACACACTTTAATGCTGCCTCGGCTCACCTGGCCCTGGGTCAACTGGACCTGGCTCTGAGGGTCCGTACTAACCTGGTTTTACAAACACTTTAGCCCAGAGATGTTTGTGATCCGGTGGAACGTATCGAAGATATGAGTTTGTGATAAACAAAGAGAAACACCTGGCTCATGTCATGCTTGTAGTTCTATCACTGCAGTTCAGATTTAACCCTGGAAACTGAAATAAAGATTTGTGTTTAAATCAAACCTGAACTTTTTCTTTGTTTTTCTCCTTCTTCCTCTTGGCCGTCCAGTCTTTAGATTTCACGGTGGCCAAAGATGAACGTCTTGCTGTGGCCTTCTTCCAGAGAGCAGCTGTGATGATGCAGCTGGACAGGTTGGGCTCTAAAACACAGTTTTACACATTTTACACAACGAAAGAAGGCTTAATACTGCATGTAATCATCACTAACATGTCTGATTTCTTTCTGAGTCTGGTTTCAACATTCAGTTTATAGGAAACAAACTGAGGGTCCATGTTCAGGACACACAGGAGACACAGTTAAAAGAAAAGTATTATTTTATTCTTTGAGTTGCAGTAAAGTTGAAAACATAAAACCAAATGAAAGCCCAGCCTTCAGCTCCTCCTCATCYCAAACTGCACATCTGAACAGAATCATTTCATGGAGACAAATCACAAAGCTGTAGTCAATTCAGTCAACGTTCACCTCTTCTTTCAGCTCTTTCCTGTCAGAGGTCCACCTCTGTCYTCTGTCCTCACTCTGTCCACTGTCTTCTACCTCCAAGTCCTCTACCTGCATCTATACATCTCCTTTTTGTCTTTTTCCTGGCAGCTGCGTCTCTAACATCCTTCTACCAATATACCTGCTGTCCTTTCTCTGGACATGTCCAACCTCTGTCTGTTTGGTCTCTCTAACTTTATCTCCAGTCCTGATGGTCTCAGTCCTAATTGTCTCCATCCTTGTGTCTCCCAAAGGGAACCTCACCATCTTCAGCTCTCACACTCCCAGTTCTTTTTGTCCATGTCTCCAAACTATACAACATAGCTAAACTGACTGTACTTATATAGCTTCTTTCTGTCCACCGGGGATATTAAAACGCTTTACAACGTGTGTCCTAATTTACCCATTTACACACATTCAGCATTCAGTGAGATCTCTCTACAAAGCTAATACAGATAAATCAATCCATGGTCTTTTACAATGTCCCCTCTGTCCTACACTCTCCTCTCAGTGTATCCTCACATTTCCCTCCTCGTGACATTTGACTAACAGTAGAACAGATCTCATGCTTCCTGTTTGTCAGAAGCACCGGTGGTGGTCCTTGTCAACCCGCTCTTTGACTGATCTGGTTTTGTGTCTTTTAGGTGAGCTCAGGTTAATTTGGCCAAAGTGTTTTAAGTAAGATACAACTTCCTGACAAAACCCTCATCATTTACTCAGGCTTGGGACCAGAACAAGAAATACAGACCTGTGCTCCATACTGACTGGTTTGGTCAAACCACGACAAGAGCATTAAACTACCTTAAGCTCAGAGTGTGTGAAGTGAATGACTCTCAGCTACCACCATTCCAGATTATGGTTTTAAACACAGGTGGTTGTGGCAGCCATCTTGARTTGTGTAAMYTCTTGTAGATGCACATCCAGTTATTACTTTCTGCAGGTTTTAATTAAATTCTTCTTGTAAGATATTAAATACTTTCATCCAGTCGTTTGTGTCTGTGCTCTGAGTCCAGGCTGGAGGAGGCCCTGTCTGATTGTATCTGGGCTCAGAAGCACATGAGAGGGAACTCTGTCATCGACTACAGACAGCTGGGACTGAGATTCAAACTCTACAGCTGGCAGGTCACACACACACACACACACACACACACACACACACACACACACACACA